TGAAGGACAGATAGTGAGATATGGACGGCAAGAGGAAGAGCTCTAAACCTGGGATACAACGTGAATAAACTAATTTATAAAAAAAAATGTTAAATTAAAAAGAATTTGAGGACAAAAAAATAAAGATATTTTTCATTTTCTTACCATTACTAAATTTTGTAAGAACATTTTAGTTTCACCATTATGTCATTCTTACATCTGTCATCCTGTTTGCTGTGATATTTGAATGCCAGAGAATGTCCCTCAGTAGTGGGTATTGTAATTTTTGTTTTTATGTGTTAAGTGTGTAGATCATATTTATTTCAAGAAAATGTCCTTGTAGTAATTAAATAAAGACTACATGCTCTTTTCTTCCCTGTACTAATATGTTTGGTTTAGGATTTACCTCTAAGTATCTATTATCTTCTTTTGAATTTTTATTGCAATGATAATGATGGTAGTTGTTCTCTTATTTCATGGGAACCCTAAGCTTAGTCTTTAATATTGTGTTCTTCATGTTTTTAAGTTTCATAGCATATAGCAGATTTACCTACAAATAATCATAGTTAAAGAAATTATATTTTTATTTTTTGTGGGACAGCAGGAAGTATTGGGGATTTGTCTGTGATTGTGTATTCAAATGTTATTAACCCCCAAGATCTGGTTTCTGCCCAGCAGCCTTTGTTTTATAAAACTTGGTCTCTACTTTATAGTTGGTTGGTTAAGAAAATGGGATAAGTCTGTAACACGCAGAACAGAAGTAGGCAGACATGAGATTATGGGGTTCAGGGTCCCAGATAGGATCCACAAGTGAGAGAGAGAATGAGGAGAAAAAACTGGAAGGAGGAAATGGGGCAGTATGGATCATGAGTACCATGTCTTTCAGGGCTGGTGTGATATAACAGAAGCAGCCCAGGCAGCAACAATAATGGCAAGTAAATTTGGGTATGTAGCTGGGAAATAGAAAAATAACCTAGAGGGTTGATATCTGCCCTAATCTTGTGCTTTAAAGCTTATCATAAATCCAAAAGGCCTATGTGTATTTTATTCAGGACCTAATTGATCTGAAGCTGGGTAGATACTTAGGATCAAAGATGGCCATAGGAAACCTTTCAAAAATAGTTATTGTTATAGATTATTTTAACTGATCACCCTTTCAGTTTGAATGCATTTTTCAAGATTCACTCATGGTTTAATACAGGAGCCTCATGTCCAACCACTTAACTTTAATCAATGAATGAATAAAAGTCATGCCTTAATATTCTGCCTGTTCATGGGATAAAAAGACTGAGGTTACTATGATAACAATTTTCTGAGATTGCACTCTAAGTTCAGCTTCTTTCTTCTTGTTCTCTCTTCAATGTATATATTAAAGTACACAATAAAGTAAATTTTTAAAATTCTCTAAACATCCATATGTTTTAATGGAGAAGTTTTCAGTACTTGAATAATACTTCAACATATGGATCTTTAGATAACTCAGATCCATAAAGACAAATTAGAATATTTTCTCTTCTCCGTGGCTCTAAGTTTCAAATCTTCAGTTAACTGTGTTTCATTTTAAATATCAATAGAAGTCAGAAATTAGTAAATGGCAACAAGGGAATGGTTTTAGGAAAAGGTGGTATTAAAGCTTAAAGGTAATTAATGGGATCAGAATTATTACAATGGATTGGGGATGCAGTGGATAGGGTAGAGGAGGATATTTAAGGAGAAATAAATAAGAACTAAAGTCCCTTTAAAAACAATCATATGGAAACCTGACTAATATTGTAAAAGTATATATATATATATATTCAGAGCAACATTGTCTTTACTAGACACTCCAAGATAACAAACAAAGTCTAGAGTAAGCAATGGTTTGCCACTTTTTAGGTCATTTTCCAGTCAGGTACCAAGTATCCAAAAAATTACAGACTACTCCCAATGATTTTGGTGCCTCCCAGAACTTGATTGTAAGACTACCAATGAAGTCACCATATGCTTAAGTTATAGAACATGTTGTTGTCAAGTTTGGACTGGCTTGGAAGCTAAATCCCTCTTGCTTAGTTTTCATAATGCTCAACAGTACTTACTATACCACACTACTGGAATGAAAAGTAATTATTAGCTTAAACCAGCTGTGAACTATTGAGAGCTGAAACAACCACTGCTCTAGCAAGACATACTCACTGCTACAATAATAACATGGACATCATGAAAGTAACCATCTACTTTCTGATTGTATTTAAGTCCTGCTCCTGAAAATGAAACCCATACCTGACATTGTTGCAGGAGCCAACAACCTTTGGCTAGACAGGTGATGAGCCCTTGGAGAGAACCTACTACAATTACTCTACTAAATAGACATAATATTTCTCTGACTTCTAATTACTTATCATTATACCCATACATTAATATATTTCTCAATCATCATCAGAGAAGCTTCTGTTCACAGTAGATGGACATTAAAACAAAGACTTACAACTCGTCAGGTTGCAGGAAATTAGAGACTTTAGAGTGCTTAGCTCTAAATGGGACATTTATATAACACTCTTTCTTCCCAGTGCTCAGGTATCATTGAATAATAGCAGAAAGTGTTTAAGAAGCAAATGACAGTGGACATATACAAGGAAACCATGTCTTCTAGAAACAACATGGAAACTGCAAATATGAATCCACAACAATTGTGACAATATGCATAAGATCTGTGCAGGCTCACCCAAACAAAAATCACAACATAGAAAGGAGTGGCAGAAGTACAAAATATTACGGCTAGGCAAGGTTTGTTGTTGTTTTTGGAATTGATGCTGGAGAGAGAAAGAAAGCAGCAAATGGAGAAAGAGAGAGAAAAATAGAGAGGCAGGTGGGAAAGGGGAAGATCACTAAAAAGACATTCCTCATTATAGGTTGAATTTATATTGAAGATGCATTTCATATACATATATGGGACAGATTAGTAGAACAGAAAACATGACCTTTGAAAAGAGAACTAATTTCCAATAATACCGTATGAAATTCTCAGAATGGTTTGAAGTAGTACCTTTGAGGCCTCAATATTTGTGCTGCCAACACTATTATCTACTACTTTTTTTATTAAAAATGGCTTTTTACTATGTTTAACATTATTTGACATATAAACCAGAAATAAAAAACAGAGAAAAATAAATTTTGAAGTTTCTTGAAAATGGCACCAAGTCGATAACAATTTATCAGAGTCCATGACTTGTGAACTTAAAACAATGGAAAAATTCCTGTTTCAATTAGGTTGGGTACTATGCAGACTTCACATGGGAATAATGCACAGCATTGTTTAATAGCACAGGGGGTGTCATTAAAACACTTATAACTCTGGCAAATGATATTAATTAGATATTTTGATGACCTATGTACTTTTACTTTAAGCACATATTCAGTTTTGTAATGTCACACCTATTATTTTCTACTTTCTGTTTTGGCTTTTACTTTTCTAAAACACCAAAGCTACATGGAACAGAGATATCATCTAATGACAATGCTTTCAATATGTTCCATGAAAGAATTTCCAACCCTGTGACACAGTGGCTAAGGATAAACCTAGTTTTGATCACCTCCTTCTTTCTGATCTTAGTCTATCAGTTCTCATCAGAAGTGGCTGCATTGTCATCTTCTGTGACCTGGTAAGGCTGCTCTCCCCTCAGGAGGAGGTGATCAAAGGCATATCAGATTATGTCAGAGGCAGTTCCTCTTCCCATTACTATGTAACCCACTTTGACACTACACTGCCATAGACTACATCTGTGCAGGGGTTCTAGGTTATGTCCATGCATGGTAATTGGTTGGAGTATGAGTCTCGGGGAAGAACCCCCTGTGTTCAAATTTTCTGGTTCTGTTGCTATCCTTGTGGGGTTCCTGTCCACTCCAGATCTTACTATTTCCCACTTTTTTTTTTTTTTTTAGCTTCTGGCTTTTATTTATTTATTTATTTACACTTTATTCACTTTGTATCCCCCCATAAGCCCCTCCCTCCTCCTCTCCCGATCCCACCCTCCCTCCCCCTTCTTCATGCATACCCCTCCCCAAGTCCACTGATAGGGGAGGTCCTCCTCTCCTTCCTTCTGATCTTAGTCTATCAGATCATATCAGGAATGGCTGCTTTGTCATCTTCTGTGGCCTGGTAAGACTGCTCTCCCCTCAGGGGGAGGTGATCAAAGAGCAGGCCTATCAGATTGTGTCAGAGGCAGTCCCTCTTCCCATTACTATGTAACCCACTTAGACACTAAACTACCATGGATTACATCTGCGCAGGGGTTCTAGGTTATCTCCATGCCTGGTACTTGGTTGGAGTATGGGTCTCTGGGAAGATCACTGTGTTCAAATCTTCTGGTTCTGTTGCTCTCCTTGTGGGGTTTCTGTCCTCTCCATAACCTACTATTTCCGACTTCTTACATAAGATTCCATGCACTCTGCCCAACAGTTGGCCATAAAGTCTCAGCGTCTGCTTTGATAGTCTGCAGGGCAGAGCCTTTCAGAGGCCCTCTGTGGCAGGTTCGTAGGTTGTTTCCTGCTTTCTTCTTCTTCTGATGTCCATCTTCTTTGTCTTTTGGGATGGAGATTGAGCGTTTTTAGTCAGAGTCCTCTCTCTTGATTAATTTTGTTAGATGTACAGAATTTAGGTTTATCCTATAAGTCTATGTGAGTAAGCATATACCTTGTGTGTTTTTCTGCTTCTGGGACAGCTCACTCAGGATGATCCTTTCCAGGTCCCACCATTTACCTGCAAATATCATGTTTAACTTATTTTTCTTTTTTTTTTCCTCTAGGACTGAGGTTTATTGAGAAACACATGGGACTAATGCAATTTTTAAAAGGTGAACTCTAACAGGGTGGCACCTAGATCAAATACAGGTAAGCCCAGAATTGGGACAGGAAAACTTTTGATACCATGGGCAAAAGCAAAGTTCCAAAGATGAACCAGAGAAAACCTTTCTAAGAAAAATGACCATCTTCCACATTATACAACCAATTCCATTCATGACTAACAAGTTTTTTTTTTCTTAAATATTGTTTGAGCCTTTATAACGGCTTATCTCATGAAGAAGAGAACGCCGAAATAGGTTAGACATTTTTGCTATAGAAAGCTTAAATTGTGTCAGACAGTTTTTAGATATCTGCCACTGAGTGTTGCTTGCAAGATTTCCTTATTTTTCATTGCAGAGTAATACTCCATTGTGTAGATATACCACAATTTCTGTATCCATTCTTCAGTTGAGGGACATCTGGGCTGTTTCCAGCTTCTGGCTATTACAAATAAAGCTATTACAAACATGGTTGAACAAATGTCCTTATTGTGTACTTGAGCCTCTTTTGGATATATGCCAAGGAGTGGTATGGCTGAATCTTGAGGAAGCACTATTCCTAGTTATCTGCGAAAGCACCAAATTGATTTCCAGAGTGGTTGTACAAGTTTACATTCCCACCAACAGTGGAGGAGAGTTCCCCTTTCTCCACAACCTCTCCAACATGTATTGTCACTTGAGTTTTTCATCTTGGCCATTCTGATGGGTGTAAGGTGAAATCTCAGGATTGTTTTGATTTGCATTTCCCTGATGGCTAATGACGTTGAGCATTTCTTTAAGTGCTTCTCTGCCATTTGATATTCCCCTACAGAGAATTCTCTGTTTAGCTCTGTTCCCCATTTTTTAATTGGATTACTTGGTTTGCTGCTTTTCAGTTTCTTTAGTTCTTTATATATGCTGGATATTACCCACACATTTATGGACACCTGATTTTTGACAAAGATGCCAAAACCATACAATGGAAAAAAGATAGCAACTTCAAATGGTGCTGGTCCAACTGGATGTCTATATGTAGAAAAATGAAAATAGATCCATACTTATCACCCTGCACAAAACTGAAGTCCAAGTGGATCAAAGACCTCAACATAAAACCAGACACATTAAATCGGCTAGAAAAAAAGTGGGGAATACCCTAGAACTCATTGGCACAGGGGACAACTCCCTGAACAGTACACCAACAGCACAGGCTCTAAGATCAACAATCAATAAATGGGACCTCATGAAACTGAAAAGATTCTGTAAATAAAAGGACACCATCATAAAAAACAAAATTACTGCCTACAGATTGGGAAAGAATTTTCATTATCCCTTTATCTGACAGGGCTAATATCCAGCATATATTTCCCACTTCTTACATAAGATTCCATGCACTTTGCCCAACTGTTGGTCATAAGTCTCAGTGTCTGCTTTGATAGTCTGCAGGGCAGAGCCTTTCAGAGGCCCTCTGTGGCAGGTTCCTAGGTTGTTTCCTGTTTTCTTCTTCTTCTTCTTCTTCTTCTTCTTCTTCTTCTTCTTCTTCTTCTTCTTCTTCTTCTTCTTCTTCT